GCGCGAAAGGCTGACAGGTCCAGGAAGTTATTAATTACGGCGGAAACTGCACCTCTCACCCAGGAAGGTTGTCTATTGTAGATCTCGTAGCGTAGTAGACCGATTATGTTGGATTCCTCGATCCTCTTTCCGTGAACAACCAACTTCCCATCGGGGGTGTAGGCAATCACCGACGAAATGCTCTCCAAGAGCCCCTGAACCTTCTTTCTTTGACGTGGAGGAAATGAGGAAAAAATTAGCTCGTCGTTGAAGTAATCTTCGTCTAAAATATCTTCCATGCCTTATCTAGCACTCGTTTAGATGTCCGTGGAGCAGGATCAGCACAGGCCTCTGCAGCAGCAACAGCGAAGGTCGAAGGTGAGTGCGGCGATGATGATGATTCTTGCTGCTCCGAGGAACGCTTCGGTGAAATATTCGGAGAGGAGGATCCTTCTCGACTGGTCGATCCTGCTTTGACCACTCTTCCTTTAAAGCGATCGTAGTTTACGATGCTCGTCGGCAGACTTTGTTTGACCAATAGCGTCGCGACACGTTCGAAATGAATGGGAACTGGCATCTGTTTCGCTCGCGAAATTAGATAAGAAACCATATCAATGATATTTGACTCATGGAGAGGCTTCTCGTCAATTATAATCTCTAACGTGGGTGGGTCCCTTGCAATCACTGGTTTTAACAAATTTAGAAGTGATCGACCTTTTTCCCTATAGGTTTTGCTCAAAATATTGACGACTGCATTGATATCGTGATCTTCCGTGGCATCATTCGTCTGCGTCATTTGTTCTCTCGTAAAGGGAGTCGTTTCCTGAGGCATGACGTTGTTAATATCAGGATTGTGCGGACGTAAACTTTTATGAAGCGTCTGAATGATATTTTTCAGTTTGACGTCATCCGCTTCCCCCTCTTGTCTTAAAATATCAGGAATATGCTCTTCTTTGTAAGGTATGAGATGGTATTTCTTCATTTTCACACCCCGATGGCCTTGGAGATAGCTCTTCCTCCGAGCGTGGATAACAGACCCAAGAGAGCCGGAAGGATCAAAGGTAAAAAGCCTCCTTTCTGTATCAATACCATTTTTATATTCTTGTGACCTTTCTTTCGGTTTCCCAATGATCTTATGAGGGGTACAAACCTCTTTACCTTCCTTTTTATAGTTGGTGTGAGTGGAACGTTTCCTCTGCAAAGGTTTAAGCAAATTTCGCGAATGATGTTTAGATGTCCCTTTTTGACGTCACGAAGAAGGACTTCTCTTTGTCTAGACGATTTAGCTTTGGACAAGAGGTGCAAAAACCGTGCATGTCCCTTCAAACGATTCACGAGGAAGTGTCGTAGACGACTTCTGGTCCCTCGTCCGGCAAGATCCTTGTTCTCACGCGGAAATTATCGGGGCAAGTTTGCGACAGGTCGATCAGGATGTAACTGAATGGTGTTTTACACGCGTCCGAATATATACGCGGAAGGACATGCCCTCTCTTCCCTCCAAAGAGCTGTCGAGATAGTACCTGGAGTTGATCGACAATCCTCACCGATCGGAATATCATTAGAGCCGTAGAATTTAAGCTGATTGTTCGAAAGTATGAATCTTGGTGAAACATGTTCTGAGTAGTGAAAATGACGGAGGCGTTATAGTGGTGAGCAGCACCTATGAAATACTCGCATATCTCCTTCAGTTTTGTCCTATTTGAGAGAAAGTCGTCGAAAATAATTAGCGAGTTTGTCTCGGGATCCAAATTTTGCGGAATGTCCTTAGTGAACACAACGTCCGGGTGATCTTTAAAAAACGGTTGCTCGTAAACGTACACGTAGAAAATGACGTCCAACTTCTTATCAAACATTTCCTTTCTATAATGCAACAATTTACGAATATACATGCTTTTGCCTGATTTCGAAGAACCAATCATTGTTACAGACGCGGGCGTCTCAAATTGGAATTTATTGAGAACGAGCGTCATGACGGCCGGTTTGCAAATGTGAAAGGCAGTGTATCTACAGCTTTCTATATACGCCGAATACCTTTACCACCTTCCTTACGAAAATACACGATGAGACGACCCGCCAGCTTCCCTCGCGCTGGCTTATCATAACCATAAACTCAGAAGCAACCAACCCTGGTGTCGAATTCTCACTTAACACGCACAGCCGTTCGTCAGTTCGTAAACAGATTGCTTTAAAGCGAAAAGCTGAAACAACAGAAACCTAATACGATGCACGGTGTCAAATTCGCGATTGTGGAGGCTGTCACGTCCAGACATGTCTCGCGGTGCCAATCGTTTTGTAAACAGGCTGCTATAAAACTGACGGACGTCCACCGTTTCTTCAGAGCGTGCCACTACACGTGAGGTGAGGGGAAAAATATTTGAAACGCGTTTATTTTGTTTTTAACATACATTTTTATTACAGGAGCCCACTGCCGCCACCGCCGACCCAATGATGGAGAACCTCCTGGACAAGCTTAACTCCTTGAAATCGCCGTCAAACTTTGTTAAGATGGATCTGATTCCGTCTGATGTCAAGCTGCCTGTGTTAGACATTGGACGTTTGGACACACGTTACGGACCGTCCGTCTTCGTATCCCTCCAGCTGTCAGACGAAATTGTCAAGGTATTTGTGCCTAAACGATTTTCAGAGCTCAGTGACGAGGAGCTTGAAAGTATGCGTCACATGACGGGATTAGTTCTAGAGAAAAGCAAGGGCGACGGATGGTCACCCATCATTGTCTTCTCGAAGTTGGACATTTAGGTGTCTTTTTTTTTATTTTCTCAGAAATGGTAACCTGTCACTTGTGTAACGTACGGGAGAGGCAACAATATTCCAGCGCAGAGGCATTACAAGTTCATCTGGCTCTTGTACATAATGTTCCCTATCAAGATTGCATTCCATTTTGTGAAGGCCTCTGCGCTTTTCGAAACTTTACGATGCGCTATGATATGTATTTGCACGAGCGCGACGACGAGGCTCACGACGTCTCTACACTGTTCCGTCATCACTCAGATGCAATGTCCAACGTATTTAGACATTACGGAATGCCGCTGCGTTTTTTAATCACGTTAACCGCAGAACTGACACGACTTAACTCCGAAGGCGAATTTGACTTTAGCGTGCATTACTTTCACTCTTTCGTTCACACGATCTGGGCCGAGGGTAACATCGCTAGCGCCCTGCAGCTTGCCTGCGGCGAGATAAACGCCAGTCTAGAGCAGTATCAGGAACGTGGGTCGGGTTTCGCGCTCGTCGCCATCCAACAATGTAGCATCACAGTTGGACGTTTCGTTCCCCAGAGGGTCGGATGTCAAAGTTTCACTTTGCCGAAGGAACTGGCAAACAAACAGTGTATTTTGAATGTGAACGAACGCGTGAAGGACTCCGAAAGAAAAATGTGCTTCACCTTTTCCGTGCTTGCGGGGTTGCATCCCACTCAACATAAAACGAGAGCTTCCTCATACAGGGACCATCTGAGCAAATATTCGTTTCCTTTAAACTATCCAGTGACGTTTCCAGAAGACGTAGAGACTTTCGAAAGAAAAAATCGCGTGTCCATCAACGTGTACGGTTACGAACGGGACAAAAAGTTTGACTATCCTCTCAAAATCAACGATCACGAGTTGGAAAAGCATGTAGATTTGCTCTTGATTGACGACCACTTTGTCCTCATCACCAACTTCGCCGGGCTTTTCGAAAACAGGGCTAGCTACCGATTCCGTTGTAAAAGATGCATGATGGGTTTTCGTTTTCGGACTTCTCTAACCAGTCATTTTGCCTTGTGTAAAGAAAAAAAGCCAGTCCGAACGGTCTCTCCTAAAAAAGGGTACGCGCTTTATTTCCGTAACACTCACCTCATGGAGCCTTTTCCATACTTCTGCGTCTACGACTTTGAGGCCATCTTGAAACCGGAAAACACGGATCACGTTTACGAGAGTCACGTACCCAGCTCGTTTTGTATTCTAGTGATCCGTTCTACAGACTCACGAATCATGGAACGTTTCTTGTATCGAGGCGAGGATTGTGTCGAGCAGTTCATTTCCATCCTCAATCAAATGTCCAAACTCATTCCCGAGTGGATTAGGAGCGATCTCACGACGGTCAAAAAGACACAGAGCTCCGGCAGTCACTGTGATGTATGTGGCGAGTCGTTCGACAAACGTAAAAGAAAGGGCAATGATCATTTTACCTGACCTTACAGGCTGTGCAAAGGCTGTAATTTAAACGACAGGAATAACAAAAAAGTCATTCCCCTGGTTGCACACAACCACTCGTACGACCTTGCCTTTATTTTACCGAAACTACATCTATTCGAGTCGAAAGATATCAAGGTTCTCGCCAGTAGTTGTCAACAGTTTAAGCGACTCGACGTGGGTAACCTACGGTTTCTCGACAGTCTAGCTTTCCTCCCCGTGAGCGTGGACGCACTTGTGCAGGACCTCCATTCCAAAGGCTTGGAAAATTTTCGCTGCCTTCGTGAAGCGTTTCCTCAACATATTGAGTTGCTGGCACGTAAGGGTGTGTTTCCCTACGATTACATAACCGACTTCAGCGTCTACGATGAGCCCGAGCTGCCACCACGTGAGTCGTTTTACAACAAGCTTAACGACGCTCACATTTCTGAGAAGGATTATCACCATGCCCAGGTCGTTTTTGACACGTTCAAGTTCAAAAACGTGGGAGAGTACAGTGACTGCTATTTGAAACTCGACTGCTTACTTCTATCCGACGTAATGCAAAATTTTAGGAAATGGACCCTGGAAACCTACGAGATCGATCCCTTGCATTTCGTGTCGCTTCCTGCCCTCAGCTTGGTCTGTGCGCTTAAGCAAACAAAGGTCAAACTTGAGTTGCTCAACGACGTCGACGCATATCTTTTTATCGAATCGGGTTTACGAGGAGGAATCGTGCAATGTGCAATTCGACATGCGAGAGCTAACGTTCCAACCAGCGACTCGTTCGATCCTAACAAAGATGCTTCTCAAATGTTCGACCTCGATGTGAACGGTCTTTACGCATAAACGATGAGACAACCGCTTCCGTACGGCAATTTCCGATGGCTCGATCGCGAAGAAATCAATGCCCTTCAGTTCGCTCAGGTTTCAGACGACTCACCCACTGGTTACATCTTGGAGGTAGACCTAGACTATCCAGAGGAACTACACGACTCGCATGCAGACTTTCCTTTGGCTCCGGAAAAACGAGGTGTTCCTTTCGAATGGCTTTCGTCTTATCAAAAGGCGCTAGTGAAAAAATTTGGCCTACCCGAGAGAGAATTTGAACGTAAGCTTCTTTTAACCCTATTTCCCAAACATGATTATGTTATTCATTTCCGAAACGTAAAGTTGTACCTGCAGCTAGGGTTAAAACTGAAGAAGATTCATCGCGTCCTGCAGTTTTCCCAGCGGGCCTTTCTAAAAGAATTTATCGACTTCAATCACGATCTGCGCAAGCAGGCTACCAACACCTTTCAGAAGAATCTGTCAAAGCTCTTTATGAACTCGATCTACGGAAAGACGATTGAAAATCCTCGCCAATGCAACGACATTGTCATTAGCGTTTCCGAGGACGAAGTCGTAAAAAATCTGCAAAAACCTAACCTTAGACAATTTACAGCGATCGGTCCGAACGTGGTCATATTTCAATTTTCACAGAAAACTTTGCACCTGAACAAGCCCATATACGCAGGTTTCTCTATCCTAGAGATGTCGAAGATCGTCATGTACGATTTCTTCTATAATCAGATCAGGAGAGTTTTCCCGGATGCTCGCGCTGCATATAGCGACACGGACTCATTTATCCTCCAAATCAGCGGTCGGGACGTCGACGAGAAGCTCGCAGAGCTTACCGAGAGCCACCTAGATACTTCCGGTTACCCGTCCGACCACGCCTTGTATTCGCTTCAAAACAAAATGCGACTTGGAGTTTTCAAAAACGAGCTGCCGAAGGACCACATTCTAGGATTTGTCTGTCTTAAACCGAAACTCTATGCACTCGATCTAGAGTCTCAAGAACATTGTGTGAGGGCTAAAGGAGTAAAAAGATGCGAGTCGCGTAAGCTAACTTACGATCTCTACCTTCAGACTCTCGAGACACAAACTCTGCACACTGACACCCAAAGAATCATTGCTCGTAAGCAAAATGAAAACAAAAGTGTCGTCGTAGAAAAAATTGGATTGAACCCCTTCGACAACAAGCGTTTTATCGAAGACAACGGACTTTCGACGCTTCCTTACGGACATCTCAGACTCGGCGAAATGTCCTCCTCCAAGAGAACCGGGTGTGTTCGATAAAAATGTAATCGCGGCAGTGTATTTTTTTTTCTTTTGGGATGAAGGGAGTAATGATATGTTTCAAATCCTGGAAATGTCGCCCCCCCACCCTATGTAGTCGATAAAAATGTTATTCCGACACTGTAATTTTTATTATTTTGAAATTGTTTTGTTAATTTATTCTTATAATATGTTATATTGTAAGTGTGTATTCATGTCTGTTTTTTTTATGTAGAGCGTTTTCAATGCATATGAATGCATGCAATAAAACGATTCATGCTTTACTTTTTGTGTTTGTTTTTATTTGACTGAAAAGAGATTACAAAACGCTGCAGCAGGATAGCTCTAACTTGGGAGATGGAAATTGTTTCCGCACAAGTACAGATATCAAACGATCGTTCCATCGATGATCGGTTGGCGAGAACGCCTTGGTGCATTCGCGGAGTGGTACACCACAACACAGGAGAGCGCCGACTTATAGACAGTAAAGTCCACACGTACTTGACTTGAATCCTTGAATTTTCTTTTTGTTGAAGAAGAAGCTGGAAGCGTTTCCGATAAAGTCGTAAAATTCTTCGTGTATTGGAATCATACCAAAACTGTCAAAATAACTAATCGAATTGTCCTTTGAAGATATGAAAAAAAGAACCCAGTGTTCGCCGGAAGAAGATCTCGGTGCCGTGTTAAGTATGTAAAGACCCTGGCTTGGTCTCTCCTGGCCAATCTCGTCGCAAGAAAAAGTACCGCGAAACCAGGGTCGCGTACACTGGTTGCCTGCAAACATCGAATAAAATTTGTGTTCTTCCATTTCTTCAATTAGCGATCCTGACCCGTCTCTCCTTGTCAATTTCCAAAACGCGTGGTGTTTCTGACATGAACAGGATCGTGACTGCCTTATTTAGGTCTTGTTTGAAAGTCAGGGTGAGTCTCACATTGGCTTTGAGGATTGGACATAAACTCTGCTCTTCCCTGTCGGGAGTCAAAGTGTAGTAGAGAAGAAAAGAGTCTTTTGAGAAGGCACCTTTAGAGAACGGAACGTCTTTTCGACTGAGTCGATGCAGGAAGTTCATATAGGCCTTCATATAAAGATCCTCATTAAAATCGAAATTTTCCGTCTGCTGAGACCCTCCAACGTCTAGTACGGCCGTTTTCAGATTGAAGTGTTCAAATTTGAAGGGGTCGTGTTCGCGACTTCCCTGAAATGATTCACTCTTTACGAACGCGGTGACGAGCTTAGATGGAACCCAATGAGGATAGAGGTCGTCGAGAACGATATGTGACACACCGGGAGAAACGGTTCTGGTTTTGATCTCCACTCCACGTAACAGGTATGATGTGGTAGTAGATTGCAATCGCCTTTCGATTCCGACAAGAACTGTCGGGGCCACTTGGACTCGTCGAATGTACAGAACGATGCGAGGAAGCTGAACAATGTGCTTTTGTTGAATCGTCGAAGCAGCCAAGAGTCTGAAATCTTCGGTATTTCGTCGCAGCACGATGCGGATGTCCACCCCGTTAACTAGGAGCTTTTCTTGCTGGCAAATGTCGCTGAATATCGGACAGAACATGTCGCAAAGGGTAGATCCCTCGGTGCGCTTGAAGCGAGCGGCAAGTACCTTGGCTGAATTTCCAGCTTTTCCGATGTATTGACTGGGTCCTTTTCGTAGAGCATCGCAGAAAGAGAATGATCTCTACTTACCTGGTTTGCATTAAGCAGAATATCAAGATATGAACGATAGGCATAGTTTTCGTACTTCCAAAGGACTGAACCGGAATCACTTTATCGTTCGTAACCGACCCGTCGACTGCAACAGTGCTCGCAGGATCGCCATTAGCTCGAACGATTTTAGATTGAATGTGAAGGAAGCTCGATTTCAAATCGTAAAAGTGTGGACCCAAAGGAGGGACGTGAAATTCCAAAATGGACGTGGAGGTTGCACTAGCGACGGGAAAGAACTCAAGATATTCCGATTTTTCCAGGGCAAACGAAGTAGGCGGCAGCGAGAAAAGTTCTAGTTCACCGGTTGTGCACAAACAGGATCGTTCGTGAAGGGTAAAGATACCGCTCGACATTCTCTAGGTGTCAAAAAAGTCTAGACCCTTCCGTCTCTTTTCTCGTGGGCAGACTGAGGAAGGTTTCTCGGTCTTCTTTCTTTTATGACCTGCACCAGAGAGCTTTTGCAGAAGCTCGTCCCTCGTGTTTCGATACGTCTTGCCAATTCCTTTTTTGAGGGCATCCCGAAGTGAGGAACCTTGTCTGACGCGCTCTGCTACGTCTCTGCCAGTGGCCACGAGTTTTCGACCGAGGTACGGGGCTACTCTCTTTGTAAACACCGGCGATATTCTTTGATAGATGTCGGACAGTAGACCGCTCCCCACTTGGAACAAAGGCCCGGACACAAAATGCGGCAAATGTTTCTCTCCGGAACCGGAAAAATGGTCCACACCACACGGTGCAGACTTTACGTGCATTTTCTAAAATGCAGGGTTGCTGCGACATGACCGGATCCGTCTAGAAATGGAATGTAAGTTCCTTTCTCACCAACGAGCTCCAGACAAATGGTGTTGACTTCCTTTACGATCACCCTCTTATATTGTAACAAATTGAATGAATACGACATCATCTCATTTCGCTTAGTCACCACGAAAGGTACGACTCTCAAAAGAGGGGCTTTCACATCACCAACGTGTTCCGCTTCTATGATATCGCAATACGTAAAAATGCAATTATTTGGATATAATATGACTTCACGGTCTGCCACGGTAAAGGAGGTATACACGGTCTTTTCACCAAATCCGAGCATGTGTGACAAGTGCTGATTAATCAATATATATCCATTGTGATGCAACTGCAATGCTACGAGTTTTATGTAGGGGTTATGACGAAGCAACATTTTTGAGGGAAGGAGTTTGAGTGTAGATTGGTACGCACTGTTTATCGCATCAATGAGGTGTTCTGCCGATTCGTAGAAGCCCTCGAGAATCTCAATACGGTCGTGTGTCATGACGTGTTTAACTCTTGTCAGCTCTATCTCAACCTCTTTATCGAACGTCAATTCCTCTACGGGACGGCCTTCCATAGACTGACCTATACCAAATATTTGCTCTGAAAAGCCAAGTTTTTCGGCCAAGAGAGACGACATGTGCAAAGCGTTGTTTCTCTGGAAGGTTATGGAACACAAGCTTTCTTTTCGAACGAGGCTCGCTTTGGGTTCGAACAATTCTCTCAACCCACTTCCCAACAACGAGAGGACGTCTCGTTTTGCAGGGATTCGAATCTTTTTGCTGGATTCCACATGCCCAGCGTCCGTTGGTCTGACCAAATAGATCTCGTTAGATGGCCTCGTCACATTCTTGATGCTAAATGGAAAATTTAATTCCTCTAGGGCGACCTCATACGGTTTATTTAAAAGGATAGGTTGGGACAGCTGTACCTTAAAGTTACTTAAAGTATTATCGTGAAATATTTCACTGGAGGCATTGGAGAAAAGGTTCACATAAAATTGATTGCTCATTCTACAGACCGATTGTGCACTCGGTCAACACAAGACTGACCGGGCTGATAGCGAGGCCCGATCTTTTCTATCCGACAAAATAAAACACAAATAAATTAAGATGACAATTTATTTCCACGAGTCCACACTATCCGCAGTGACCAGCCTGTATCGAAGAACATCCGCGGCCAGCCGATACACGTAGGTTGCTTCGATGTGATAATTGCACCGCACTGACCGCTTGATGGTATGCACCGTGTCCGAGAGGAACTCCACCACGTCCGTCGTTTCCGCTTCGGTCACTCTGGACATCACCTTGCTCACCCATCCCGACAAGAATGTGAAAGGACCCTCGTGCGATGGCCACTCCTTGTCCTTTCCCTCGTAGTGCTCGTACACGCGGGACACTACACGGAACACAACTGGGTCCACTTCGTAGGGAGGGAACTTTCCGAACACAATCAGATCGATGAGCAGTTCCAGTGCAGTCACAAAGAAGTCGTTGTTTGTCTTACGGTCTCCAGTGCAGACTTGTATCTCGATCCAGCGAGTGTGTTCTTCCGCGCAAACTAGTCAGACGACCGCACGCAAGCATCTGGACAGTTCGAACTTCACGACACGAATCGCATAGAGAGTTCGTCGCCTGGGTCATACGACACCTTACGAGCATGTCAACAAACTGAAGGTCAGTGATAAGATAAGCCGCAGGACTCGCGACATCTTGTGGGAATATCACCAACCACACGGCACATGGCGCCATCCAGCGGCGTGTCCCCACACTTTCCCACGAGTCAACGACGTAGGCGGGGAGTACGTTGATTGGTGCGGCGACGGCGACCTCAAGCGCCACCTTGTGGAAGCATCACCAACTATAAACTACACTTGACAGAGCGTAACAGAGCGGCAAACCCTAGCACTACCCACGTTTGCATACAAAGTCTAAGTTCGGAATATTCACTTCCCTTTGTGGCGCAGAGGTACCGCGTCGGGTATTTTATTTTTTTTTTATTTTAAAAGCCTTTTTCGGACTAAATAAAATTCGCAGTTGTTACGTGGTTGTCACGTGACAACTGCTTGGCAGTGATCGTCTATCGGCCGATGATCGATCATCGGCCAATGATCGATCATCGATCAATAGTAAAAATCGATAATTATCGATTATCGAAAATCAAAAATTTTTTCAGATATCAGAAACGTCCGTTTCTGATATCTGAATAAGTTAGGATAGGATTGGCTAACAGCCGGTCGCGACTCTTACGTCAGACCCAACTGCGCGCCCGCCGCCGACGGCGGGCGCGCAGTTAGCCATTTAGATATCCGAATAGATAGGATCGATGTCAGAAACCGGACACCCCGATATCGGAAACATATCGGGAAGATGTCGATATCGGAAACACATGTTTTCGTATTGATTGATTATTGGGCTGATCGTGTACACTTTTACTACTACTACTGTAAGGGGCCGGCAACTGCAAAAAACATAGAAAATATTTAAAGTATTAAAAGGATATAAAAAACGTAGTAAAA